CCATTGCTACTACCTCTCAGGGAGGTGGAGTAACTACACGCTCCTCTGTTGGTGTAGCAGTGCCTTCATTTAAGTGCTCCAGCTGGGCCAATGCAGCATTTTAAGGGTAGACCTTCCCTCAGAGACAGGACACTGGACACCAGGCTGACCCAGTATGGCAATTCCTGTCTTCCAGTTTCATAAGCGTCTGATGTTCTACAAATCTCAACTTATTTTAATAAAGATAGGCTGAAAAACTGTAGCCAAGTATGGAATCTACAATCTGTTTTTTCCAGCAACTGGGGGGGGGGGGAAATGGTGGTGGTATATGGTAAACCAGAAAGGTAACCACACTCATTAAGACAGTCACTAACCACCTGGGTTAGTGTGAATGGGACAGATGAAGCCACACCTTGAAAAGTGACTATTTTACAAGTAACCGACTCGTGCCTCAAATACCATTTCCTCACAGTTGAAGATTTGCCTAAGTTCTGATACAGCAAAACTGAGAATTTGTGGGGTATTGCAAAACTGTCAGAGTAAAACAAAATAGTTTTGAAACACTGAATTAGCACCACAGGCTAACAGATGTCAACTGAAGAGATCCAAGAGTACTTCATATTAGACAGCGTTAGGTCTTATGAAAAATACTAGGATCAAAGTATGACAGTAACATTTCCTTTCCTTCTCCAGCCAGAAAACCGCCCCCATCTTTTAATGAATGCATGAAATAGGCCAAATCTCAAATATTCATACTTCAGATGAAATCATTTGAGGCCTCATGCTTTCCTTGCACAGTAGATACTCTACCACCCCCTAAATCAAACATTAGTCCTTTACATCTTAAGATCTTCCCCCCTCAGCAACCTTTTCCCTTATTTCATATGCACTATTCCCTTCATTCAAAGGTTATACTTATTATTTAGAAGGTCTCCATCCTAGTCAAGAAGGGTGTTTGAAAAGCAAATCAACGTGGTGATTTACAGCTGCAACAAAATATGCGTTCATGTTGTAAGAACCTGCTGTTGAAAGAAACAGCAACTCCACACTCTGTGCAAGATCGGGATCAGAGGCCTGCTAGTAAAAAGTCCCAGAAAAGGGTAGTTCCTGATTCAAGCTGAGAAGAGCAGAGAAAGGAGAACTGACCTGGCTGCAGCAGTGTTAAGAACTGGTGAGAGACAAGAGAGACGGAATAGAAAGTAGCTGAGGGTCACTGGGTTTAGAGAGTTAAGCAAGGAGGAGCTCTGAACCCAACCTGACCTAGACACATCTAAGGCTTCTAGCAGTCTATCCTTGAGATCTCACAGCTGTTTATCATCCCAGCTGGGCTAATAAACTACAACAGTTAGCATCCCTTCTCCAAAATAATATGCTTTCACATCACTTTCCAGTGAACAGGATGAAGTACAATGAGCTTCATTTAACCTATTTTGAACTGTGGGGAAAGCAATCAGGGGTCCTGGAAGAACTAACATCCTAGAAGATTTTGTTTTTAAAATGCCTTCCCCACACCACATAATCCCATGGATAAATGGTCAGAGGTGAAGTCCAGGGCAAGCACCACCAGTAACAGTGCAGTCTCCAAGATCACAACCACTCTTCCAGAAACCTCCACTTGAGTGGCTCAAACTCATTCCTTTCCATGCATTCCAAGCTACATTCTGAGTCACTGCACACCTGGGACTAGTTTATTAGGTCTGGCAATATCTCCCTCCTGGGAGGACTTTCTTCCTCAAAAGAAAATTTGAATGGTGCCAGACTGATTTCCCTACAGCTGGATGGCCTCTCTTTATCCACAGAACAGGTACAGCATGCACAGCAGTAATATGAGCTTCCCTGCCCCCCCGCCCATGCACTGCTAACTTGCCTCAACCCTGTCTTGGTGAGACCATCTCTGTGGGCCAGAGAACAGATTCGTTTCCATAATTATTCAACCTAAAGCCCACTTTTGGCAGCTGTAGCCCCTCAGCGTCCCTTATCCCACCAATCCTTTCCTGGCAACTGTCTCCTTTTGTTCCAGGACACATGAAGTTGTATAGGTACTCAACAAATCATTCATCAATGCAATGTTTTGACACTACCTTATTACAGAGCAAAATACAATGGACATATAAAACTACTCATACTCAAAAGTTCAAAAAGAACTTGACTATTTGTAGGATAAATGGTCATCAGAAATGCAGCAGGGTGCAATACTTCATATGCTACAGGGAGCATCAGTCCATATGCTGGGTTATGAGAAGAACAAATAAATGATCAGTCTGAAAACAGATGGACAGGGAATGGGGATTTGGCTTAGTTTCATGAGAGAAAGGACTACGGGGGGTGGGGGGAGGCGGAAGGGTCATAGACAAGAAAGAGGGTCTAAAGACAGACATGAAGTCAGTTAGGTGCAGAGGGACTGAAAGGCTGCATCAGATGACAAGGGTAGACAAAAGGATCTACTGGCTGCTATGAAGAGACATGAAGATGGAAGTCAATTTTTACTCCACAAACAAAATACCAGTTTAACAATCTTTGGCCTCTGCAGAGTGCTAATGAGGCTTCCACGTGCAATGCGAATACCTATGTTGGAACTGGACTGCCACCTCTTTGCACAGGCCAAACTGCTGTCAAATAACTACATTTCATTACTTTCCCAAAGGTCAAGCTGTTTGAATCTGTATTTTGGTTTGGACCATCTCTCTATTAATGCTCTAGTCTAGTTATGCAATACTGAGCTAGCAGTGAATGGTTATGAGATATTAAGTCCTCTTCAGAGCTGAAGTATCTCAAAGTTAGGCAATGCTACCTCATGACCCCTGTAGGCAGGGTCATCAAATTACATAAAGCTTCAGGAAGAGAGTTTGCTTGGAATAGCCAAAATTTATGTTTTTATCAAGAGCCTACAAAAACAAAAGCGGTATAATTAGAGGAGGAATTGACAAAGTTGATTCATACCCAGAGCCTGAAGAGCTCCAGAAAAAGATCCTGCTCCTTTGGTGCTGGAAGCATTGTGTAACTACCCCTAATAAATAACATCTTAAGAAGACAGGCATGATCGGTCTTGTTTTAAGAACTCTTATCATATAACAACCCTTTTAAGCCATAACTTAACACTCTCCTTGTTAGTTTTCTGTTTAGAGGATTTACTTCATCTTCACTGCAGTGTGTAATTACTTCTTTCAAATTGTCGTTGCAGAGAGTGATATCAACCAGGTTTACTTCAATTTCTATTTAGTTCTGAATAAGTGGTTATAAGCACTTCTCATCCTCATTGCAGACATATTTAGAAATACTTTCCCTTAACTCAAAGGACTATCGAGTTTCTCCACCCAGCTTTCTGGCTGAAAATTTTCCTAGCTTGAAATCCACATCGAACATGCTTTTCTTTCCTGTATTGCTTTGTGTACCATTGTTTGTAGCCTTCTTCTGTGTCAATATTTACTGAAGGAGGAGTTGCTTGTTCTCTTCCCAGGACATCTTGTTCACTGGAAACACACCTCCAGCTAGTCTCACAGATTCCAAGGCCAGAAGGGACTGTTGTGATCATCTAGTCTGACCTCCTGTATAACACAGGCCACAGAATTGCCTTAGGAATTATTTGAGAGCAGATCTTTCAGAAAAACCATCAAATTGTGATTTAAAAATGGTCAGTGATGAAGAATCCACCACATCCCATGGTAATCATTGTAACAATTTAATTACCCTCAGTTAATTTATGGCTTATTTCCAATCTGATTTGGTCTTGCCTCAAGTTCCAACCATTGGACTAGTATGGCAATTATAAAATATGCTCTTCTAACACTGGCATTCATGAGACAGCTTTCAAACATAAATGGATTCGCTTATTCTACAGCAATCTTTCAGTACAGATGTGTCATTTTTGTAACCAGTTTATGAATTTATGTCTGTCTGGAGTAGGGAAACCTGCAGGGATCAGAGTTCAGGTCTTTACAGTGAAGAGGACTGTAGAAGAATCTATATAAAACAGAACTCTCTAGTCTCCAAGCAGGGTTTTGTTGCATTAGGTCAGTAATGTGAATCTACCCACTGGGGCACTGTCCCACTTTGAAACATTAATACAAAGCAAAATGTTCTGTCTCAATTCTATATGCCATTAATTCAATGACATAGCACTTCCACCTCTGAGATGAAATCGCCCCTGTGGGAGTAGTTGCTCTCATGCTCAAGCCAGTAAAAATGCCTGAACACAACAGCCTCCACACATCACTGAATCCAGGTGGTCCAACTAAGGACTCAGGGCCCATCAGAACCTGGGAAGATGAGGAAGGTTATGTGCATCTTTTAAAACTGGAGCAGGGTTGTTCCAGGACAGAATAGCAACCCAGCTGGTTCCTGTCAAGGCTAATCAGAAAGTTTCAGGTACCTGGCCTGGGGTAGATCAAGCTAAGTATTGTACGAGGTGAAAGTGTATAGTGTATGAAGTTTATAGAAATGGAGATACCTTTCCATTGTTCTTATATTCAAAGCACATGAGAAAGTAAGACTTGCTTAAGTTCACGAGCGGTCAATGGAAGACTCAGGAACAGAACCTCATTCCCAGTAGTCTGCGCCAAACAACTCCCAGGCAGACTTCCTTTCCTGAGCTTCCTCGGCATTTATTTTACACATCCATAAAGGCACAGACTGATACTTCTGTAAGGTAAACAGGGAATTCTTTCACCTCACAGCTATTTCTCGAGGGTGCTGGGTGTCATAGATCCGGAAACAAATCAAAGAGGTGAAGTGTGCATCTAGGCCAGGATTTTCAAAAATGGGGGTCCTAAATTAGGCTCCTAAATCCATATTTAGGTGCCTAGAACAACTGGCCTGTTTTTCAAAAGCAGCAAATATCCAGAAGCTCTAACTGACCTTCTAGTGATCATTAGAAGCGACAAACATCTGTGTGTTTGAAAAAGTTTGATCTTGTTTCTTTTCCACAGGGATACTCTTTGTGGGAGGTTTGCCTCACTTTTAGGGAGAAAAAACTTCTGGAAAGTCCTGTGATTTTTATCTTTAATAATTTTTTTTAAACTCACCCAAACTGATGCCATGATTTGATTGTTTCACTGAAAACCTGAAAAACAAATCAGATACTAATAGAATACATTGTGCTAATTTATATTTACTGATAATAAAAAACAAAGTTATCAACTTTCCAATGTTTAAAAACCAACACAGCAGATTTTTTTTTTTAAGGAACCTTTTACTGAGAGCGAAGGTAAAAGTTTATAAAGATTAAAATAAATAAACTACATTCTCTCACTCTCAGGAAACTATAAAGCTCTGCTGAGTCTTGGATCAGACTTTATTTGTGTTCTGACAGCATACACAGTACAGAGTTTTTGAGTCTGAAGACAGAACCTTACATGGATTTTTCCATTTGGCAGACACATTGTTTAAACATACTCACTCAGCTCAATGTTTTGTTTAAAAGAAATCCTCCCGCCTTCCTTGACATTATAAAAACAAAAAATCTGGAAAAAAATGTCTTAACAGTTGGCAGACTCTCCTTTCTCCCTCCCCCTCTTATCAGATCTGGTTTGTGTGCTTGTCCACCACCTTCTACCTTGACTGGGATAGCCAGATTTATTAACTGACTTCACCTCCTCCTGCAAACTGAGTTTTCTTTGCTGAATTAGACTCAAAGTTGCTTAACTGTAGGATGAAATAAGGGTGATCTGAATCAGTGGTCTGCTAAAGCTTTCTACTAAAATTAAAGATCCAGGCTAGCTAATGGGTAATACTGAAAACAGTTCAGTTAGTCTCCCTTCCTACGCCACAATCAACACGAAATTACAAGGGGGGGTAGTCTGAATCAAAACAGTCTAACCTCCATTGGCAGGAACATTTTATGATGAAAGGATGTGGACTATTTTTTGAAAAAAATTACAAGTCTTGGGCCCTTTTCCCCCTTACAGCTCTACCTTTCTGAACAGCTCTACCTTTCTGAACAGCCCCATCGATTACAATGGCACTTCTTACAGGAGAATTACTCATGAGTAAAGATTGCAGGACTCTGTCCTAAGTTAACTGGTTCCTCACTCTGATAGGAGTTTTGAATTTGTTCATTGGTTTATTTATATTGCTTCAGATACACATGACTAATGCTGAAACACAACCATTTCTTTCACCACCCTTATTTCATCCTACAGTAAAATTCCATTCACACACAGGAAAGCATAACAACCTTTTCATCTTTTCTTTGGGCCTTTCTAGGTTCCTCCAAGATTCTGCATCACCCCAAGAAGAAGTTTGAGATTTTTAGGACTTAATTTTGTAGTTTAAAGATATGAAGTTGAAGTTTCTTCAAAATAAGTCTGGTCTCTATTTAGTAAAAAGACTTCATATTTTTATTTTGTATTGTTATCCAAGCCAGTAGATTCTAGCCTTATGCATCTACTGGCTGGAATCCTTGGACCCTTTTGGTCATAAGAACAGCCATACTGGGTCAGACCAAAGGTCCATCTAGCCCAGCATCCGGTCTTCTGACAGTGGCCAATGCCTGGTGCCCCAGAGGGAATGAACAGAACAGGTAACCGTCAACTGATCCATCCCTTGTCACACATTTGTCTACTTATCTGTACTATCAAGCATCAGAAAACCAAATGACAAATGCTATCAGTTAAATTCAGTGAATCCTGCATGAAGGATCACCTCCCCTACGTAAAAACCTGTTTTAAGCAATTTCTTTAAAGGAGCACCGTCAGGCAGCTTGTCCCCTCACTGTAGGTTTTATTTTAAAAATTGGATTAAAAAATAAGATCCAATGTTACTACAAATGTGGTCAGGAAGTGTTTCTCTTTCAGCGTTTGAAAGTCCCACACACCAAGGCTGTAGGAACTACCCCTGAAAATGAAACTGAGTAGTCCAGTGGCTCCAAAACTACCTGTGGGTTTGGGGCCTAAACTTATAGAACACTTGTTGGTAATCTATGGACAACTGGTTGATCAAAAAGCAACAGCTGTTCCTCCTTGTTTCCATCTCCCTAATCATATTTTAAAAAAGCTACAATACATATTAAAACACTCCCTTAATATTGTTCCATGTACATAATTGCCGAGTTGCCCTTCACTTGCCAGTGGGAAGGTACGTGGCCCAACAAGGGAAGATGTTAAAATATTTGAGAACCCGGGAAGGCGATCCAAGAGAGGGTTAAGGACACTCGTGCACAGCCACCTGGTGAATAATTAGGTTTAATTTAGGCAGGGGTGTGGCTTGGCTTGCCAACAAACACTTCCGAAGTTCAGGGGGGCTCATCTCTCCGCTCTTGGGTGGGCAGTGACTGCCAGCTGCCCCCGATTTCACTCTTACCCGCTGGCGCAAGCGGACTGGGGCGGGAAAGGGGCAGAGACCCAGACGCTCCCCCCAGCGGCGGGGGAATGCGCCACACGCAGCGGGAACCGAGCGACGGGGCCCGGGGGCAGCTCTGCGGGGAAAGCGCAGCCGCTGCCCCGGTCTTCGGCAGCGCCTGACACAGCGGGGAAGCCCAGCGGCCCCTGGGGAAGCACGAGGCGGTCTCAGTTCCCCCCCCCCCAGACACGTACCTGGAAAGTCCCCACTCGCGGCGAGAGCAGCGGCGGACGGCGCTCGGAGCAGCAGGCAGAGGAGCGGGCGCCGCCCAGACCCGCCCCCGCCGCAGGCTCCTCCTGCCTTGCAAGGGTCTCATTGGAAAACCCTCCCCGCTCCTCCACCCCATCGCAGCAGCAGTTCCCTTTCCTTCCTCCCCGGGCTGCTGCCTTCCAGCCTTCTCCACTCTTAGGGCACCTGACCTCTCCTTCTTGCGATCCCTGGGCCGGGGGGGCGAAGCTGAACTTAAATATATTTTTACCCTTTCCGACAAAATCGAACACAGATGTGTTGAAGTGAGTCATTTCCTCCCGCCCCCCTTCTTAGATGGCCGAAGGCCAAGGCAGATGTCATAAATATAAAGGGAAGGGTAAACCCCTTTGAAATCCCTCCTGGCCAGGGGAAAGCTCCTCTCACCTGTAAAGGGTTAAGAAGCTAAAGGTAACCTCGCTGGCACCTGACCAAAATGACCAATGAGGAGACAAGATACTTTCAAAAGCTGGGAGGAGGGAGAGAAACAAAGGGTCTGCGTGTCTGTCTATATGCTGGTCTTTGTCGGGGATAGAACAGGAATGGAGTCTTAGAACTTTTAGTAAGTAATCTAGCTAGGTATGTGTTAGATTATGATTTCTTTAAATGGCTGAGAAAAGGATTGTGCTGAATAGAATAACTATTTCTGTCTGTGTATCTTTTTTGTAACTTAAGGTTTTGCCTAGAGGGGTTCTCTATGTTTTTGAATCTAATTACCCTGTAAGATATCTACCATCCTGATTTTACAGGGGAGATTTCTTTATTTCTATTTACTTCTATTTTTATTAAAAGTCTTCTTGTAAGAAAACTGAATGCTTTTTCATTGTTCTCAGATCCAAGGGTTTGGGTCTGTGGTCACCTATGCAAATTGGTGAGGCTTTTTATCCAACATTTCCCAGGAAAGGGGGGGTGCAAGTGTTGGGAGGATTGTTCATTGTTCTTAAGATCCAAGGGTCTGGGTCTGTAGTCACCTAGGCAAATTGGTGAGGCTTTTTACCAAACCTTGCCCAGGAAGTGGGGTGCAAGGTTTTGGGAAGTATTTTGGGGGGAAAGACGCGTCCAAACAGCTCTTCCCCAGTAACCAGTATTAGTTTGGTGGTGGTAGCGGCCAATCCAAGGACAAAGGGTGGAATATTTTGTACCTTGGGGAAGTTTTGACCTAAGCTGGTAAAGATAAGCTTAGGAGGTTTTTCATGCAGGTCCCCACATCTGTACCCTAGAGTTCAGATCGGGGAGGAACCTTGACAGCAGATTTTCTCTCTCTTCTGCATTTGTGACTAGAACGGCTGTGAGAACACCACAGCTGGGCTGGCGACAAACTGATTGAAAGGCGGGGGGGGGGGGTGCTTGCTCTGTGGAGGTTCATGGTGTGATCACTCAGAAAGAAAGTACAGAGGGGAATGGTGGGTGCCTGGGCTGGCTAAGAAGTCTGTTGTCACCATGGCCAGTCACAGTCCACTGTGTGAAGCAAGCACCATTTGTAGATAGGAAGGCGGGGTGAGCGGGGGACGTGTGGCAGAATATTCTGCATCTTTAAAGCTTTGGTTTTGGGAGTGGCATGTCCCAGCTACTTCAGAAAGGTGCAGTGGTGGCAGGAATATGTCACCCAGGGTGTCTTGAGAAGTATTTTGTCATTTATACATTCCCAAATCTTTTACTTAGTCAAATTCAGAGGCAATCCCACCATTTGGGGTTGGGGTCTCTCCTATAGAAATTGTATTTTTAAAAAACTGTACTTTTAAAGCCATGACTATATAGCTTATAAAAATTAATTTGTTCTGGGGAACTTTCTAAAATTGTAAACTTACACTGAATATTTTAAAAACGTGTGTGCCTTTGAATTAAAAAATGGCAATAAGGGACTGTGAATTAAAGGAACCAACTCCAGTTGGGAGCCCAGAGGAAAATATTCTGGACAGGCACCAATGGGGTTTAGTGAGGGCTGGGACAGAGACAAGGCCCCCTAGTGTGGAATCAGATGCCAGCAAGACTTTATTTATCCATGGGCCCTTCCATGGACGCATCTGTGGTTACTAGGAACGGTTTGTCAAGGTCTGGGGCCCTTAGTACAGGGTCAGACATGAGTGTCTCTTTAAGCTGGTTAAAGGCCTTCTGACACTCTTTGGTCCCCTGAACGGCATTTGGCTGTTTCTTTTTGGTTAGGTCTGTCAGTGAAGTGGCGATTTGGCTGTATTGTGTTACAAATCGTCTGTAATAACCGGCCAAGCCAAAGAAGGATTGAACCTGTTTCTTTGACTTTGGGACAGACCACTTTTGGATAGTATCCACTTTGGCCTGTAGGGGGTTGATAGTTCCTTGACCCACCTGGTGTCAAAGGTAAGTCACTCGGTTTAGGCCTATTTGACACTTCTTAGCCTTAACAGTTAGTCCTGCCTCCCTTATGCGCTCGAAGACTTTTTGTAGATGTTCCAGGTGTTCTGCCCAGGAATCCGAAAATATGGCCATATCGTCAAGGTAGGCGACTGCATGTTCTCCTAATCCCGCTAGGAGACCATCTACAAGTCTTTGAAAGGTGGCGGGTGCATTCCGCAACCCGAAAGGGAGTACATTAAATTCATACAGCCTGACATGGGTGGTGAAGGCTGACCTTTCCTTGGCGGATTCATCTAGCAGTACCTGCTAGTACCCCTTGGTTAAGTCCAAGGTAGAGATGAACTGGTCCCATCCCAGTTTCTCTAATAGTTCATCTGTGTGTGGCATTGGATAGTTGTCTGGGCGAGTTACAGCATTTAGCTTACAGTAGTCCACGCAAAAACGTATCTCCCCATCTGGTTTGGGAACTAGAACCACTGGAGATGCCCATGCACTTCCAGAGGGGTGGATTACACCCATCTGTAACATATCCTGGATCTCCCGTTCTATAGCAGTTTTAGCTTGAGGAGACACCGGTAAGGTCGGACTTTAATTGGGCGAGCATTACCTGTCTCAATGGAGTGATATGCCCGTTCAGTCAGTCCTAGGGTGGCTGAGAACGTCGGCGCGTAGCTATTGCACAGCTCCTTGATCTGCTGTCGCTGCATATGCCCAAGGGTCATGGAGAGGTTCACCTCTTCCACGCCAGCAGCACTTTTCCCTTCGTAGTGGACACCTTCAGGCCACTGAGTGTCATCTCCTCCCTGGGCTGTAAACTGATAAACCTTTAATTCTCTGGAATAAAAGGGCTTTAGAGAATTAATATGGTACACCTTAGGCTTCCGGTTGGAGGTGGGGAATGCTATGAGATAATTAACAGCTCCCAGGTGTTCCTGGACCATGAATGGCCCTTCCCACGATGCTTCCATCTTATGGGCCTGGAGCGCCTTTAAGACATGACCTGGTCCCCTACTTTGAAGGAACGCTCTCTGGCATGTTTATCATACCAGGCTTTTTGCTCTTTTTGAGCATCCTGTAGGTTTTCTTTAGCAAGGGCTAGAGAGGTTTGGAGGGTGTTTTGTAGGTTGGTTACAAAGTCCAGAATGTTAGTTCCTGGAGAAGGTGTAAATCCCTCCCATTGCTGCTTCACCAACTGTAATGGCCCCTTAACATTGCAGCCATATACAAGTTCAAATGGTGAAAACCCTAAACTGGGAGGTGGTACAGCTCTGTAGGCAAAAAGCAACTGCTGCAACACTAGGTCCCAATCATTGGAGTATTCATTTACGAATTTACGTATCATGGCCCCCAAAGTTCCATTAAACTTCTCCACCATGCCATTTGTTTGGTGGTGGTAAGGAGTGGCAACCAAGTGATTTACCCCATGAGCTTCCCAAAGGCTTTCCATAGTTTCTGCCAGGAAATTAGTTCCTGCATCTGTGAGGATGTCGGAGGGCCAAGCTACCCTGGCAAAAATGTCTGCTAGTGCCTGGCACACACTTTTAGCCCTGGTGTTGCTTAGAGCTACTGCTTCCGGCCATCGGGTGGCAAAATCCATGAAAGTCAGTATGTACTGCTTTCCTCTGGGTGTCTTTTTTGGAAAAGGACCCAGATTATCCACAGCTACTTGCTGAAATGGAACCTCAATGATGGGGAGTGGCTGGAGAGGGGCTTTGACTTGGTCTTGGGGTTTTCCCACTCTTTGACATACCTCATAAGACCAGACATAGGTAGAAACATCCTTGCCCATTCCCTCCCAGTGGAATGACCTTCCCAAGCGGTCTTTGGTCCTGTTCACCCCAGCATGGCCACTAGGATGATCGTGGGCTAAGCTCAAGAGCTTTACCCCGGTACTTAGTTGGAACTACCAACTGTCTCTGAGGATGCCAGTCTTCCTGGTGTCCACCAGAAAGAGTTTCCTTGTATAAAAGTCCTCTTTCCACAACAAACCTGGATCGATTAGAGGAGCTGAGAGGCAGTGGGTTGCTCCGAGCCGCCGTCCAAGCTCTTTGGAGGCTTTCGTCTGCTTCCTGTTCAGTCTGGAACTGTTCCCTTGATGCTGGAGACATCAGTTCCTCATTGGATTGTGGACCTATGCTTGGTCCCTCTGGAAGCGATGTAGGGGATGGGGCTCTTTCCATTGACTGAACCGCTCTTCGCTGGTGCACTATGTTGGGGTTCAGGCTCTGGCTGAGCCTCTTGTGTAGGGTTATCAGCTGCTGCCGGTTCAGGTTCGGTGGGGCCCTCTGGTGTTGGTCTGGGTCTCTGGGACTGGATCCACTACTGTTGTTGCAGACATTGGCCCGGGGTCCGAATCCATCACCACTGACTGGGTCCTGGTAGAAGTTTCCGGAACAGAGCTAGGCATGACGGCTTGTTTAGCCTGGCTGCAGGTGACTATTCCCACCCTCTTGGCTAGCTTCACATGATTGGCCAAGTCTTCCCCCAACAGCATGGGGATGGGATAATCATCATAGACTGCAAAAGTCCACGTTCCTAACCAGCCCTTGTACTGGACAGGCAACTTGGCTGTAGGCAAATTGAAAGAGTTGGACTTGAAGGGTTGAATTGTCACTTGGATCTCTGGGTCAATTAAATTGGGGTCCACTAAGGAAGCATGGATAGCCGACACTTGTGCTCTAGTGTCCCTCCACACGGTGACCTTCTTCCCG